GGTTAATGACTTGTAAATTTAGTGAAGGAGGTATTTGATTCAAGCAATTGGAAAAACAGAAAGAACACAGATGTTTGTAGCAACCAAGTCAGACTTCAATTGAGAGATTATGAGAATAAGAAACAACTCCCAAATCTTTGAGGGAAGAAGACATGATATGAGATGGGATCCAGTGGATTTTGTCTTTAGTAAGCTTAAAATTGGTAATGTATGCGATTGGATTGTCCAAATTTGAAAGAGTTATTCCCATTTTCAGTAGCTCAAAGCTCTTCCACAACTTGAACTGACTGGATATATAGATGGTTGCGGATGAGAGGGAAATTGTTGCCAAACGGAAAGAAGCAGAGCAAACTTCCTTAAGTTATACTATTAGATCGATGGACAGTCCTATATCCCTTTGGAGAAAACGATTAAAGTGTTTTTCTCAGAAAAACCAATCTATTAGAATTGTCACCGCAGTTAGAAAATTTTACGTGTCTATCACTGTCGAATAAATTGGAAATTCAAAATTCTGACTTCAGAACCTAGCGGGATTGACAATGGATCATTTGGAGAGAGTTAGACGTACAATTGGGGAAAAATCAAGTTCCGCAGCCACTTTTTCATTTAGAAAGTATGTAAAGAAAATAGTTTTTCTTCAATTTTAATTTATTATTACAAGAAAAAAGTTTGTTCTTAACCTTAAAAAACCAAAACATTTTCCTTTCGACAAAAAAATTGATATTATTCGTATTTTGAGTCGTAATATATAACTGTATATACTATTAAACGGGGACTATTTAACTAACTTGATTTACTATTCAATGGTTTCAGATTATTCCCAACTTGAAGCATTATTCATTAGAGAACAGGGACACCATCAACGATTCCTCAAGGCCATTCCAGCACACAAACTTAGAAATTACTTGAATTTGAATATGTTTCTTGATGGTTCAAACAGATTTGCCATTTGATCTCTCCATTCATAAATTTCCAAATATTAAAAAGCTGCTCTAGCGAATTGGCTTCCATATGCTTACTTCCAACATGGTATTCCTTTGGTTGAAGCTGAAAAGGGGCTCTCGTACGGCCTTGCAATTCTTAAAACTGGGGAAACCTTCGCACATATTTGGAGCCACATTTGGAGTGAAGATTGCCCACCTGACCAACTGATTTTCCAAAAAATCTGGAAGCTTTTAGAAAGTATGGGTTCTGCCGCAGTTTGATTATCTTGGCACCGTCAACCGCAATCTTTCCAAAAACCTATTCTACTCATTGCACTGTTTACGACTGTATCGACTAGTTACCTGTAGCATCCTCTACTGCAAACAGTATGGTGAACTTCACGAAATGACTGTAAGACGAGTTAGCCAATATGCCTGAAAGAAATTGTAGCAACGAGGGAAATGAAATCCCAAAATCCCATATCCAACACTCAGATATCTCAAGTTATAACATTGGAAACTTAGAGCTCAGAACCTGTGGGTTAAACAAACGCTGACTAGATTTCTGCAATTCGCAAGTTTGCACAATCAAATTCCCATCTTTGATTGAATATGATAGTTAGTGCCACAGTTGCACCCCAACTGAAGTCTTTCTCTCCAAGGAGTCATAACCTCACCAAGAGCTAAAGCGGAGTAATATCAGACAAGGATAGAGATAAAATGGGCTTGGTTGGGGACCTGAATACCACATAAAAACAAATATCTAGATGAAGAAATGGTAAGTTTGATAGCCAATCTCTCTGCTAAATTCCGGATTTCTATTTGTTTCTTGTCCAATGGAGATAATTACTTTAGTTCAGATCTGCCAAATCACTAAAAAGCACAATTTGATTTCTAGGTGGATTTAGATGGCCTGCCGGCATTTTGAAACTCTCATGAATTTTCCCCGATTAAAAACAATATTCGGGCAACCACGACCAACTATCCAGTACAAGTATATCTCTGCAATTAAATACGCTGGTTGTATCGATGACTTGCAGGATTTACCTTTAGCTCAGTTCCGATCCAATCTTAATACATTTTGGGCAGTAAAATTGAAGAGCTTGAGGTAAGAATTGTACTGCAGACTTTACCCTAGAACGAATATATGGTCTTAGAATGGTAAATCCGAGTGGATTTGTCTGGCATTTTATCAAAGTAACAAGTGACTGTGCATGGTTGTGGGCAATTTAAAATATCTCTATTCATTTCACAATGAATTAAATATTTTGATGCAGTCCTTCAAAGACTTAGATAATCTGATTTAGTAAAAAAGATGGAGCAAGTAATAGTCGGGACGGTTCAGAAGAAGAAACGAGGATAGTTACTACGTGAATGTTGTTTTCCTGAAACTTGAGAGTTTCCGAAACTCACACGATATCTGACATGTATTTGATATTGGAATGCCTCGAATGTCCTGCATTAAATGAGCTGCAAATTAAAAATTGCCCTGTACTGATGACATTTGTCTCCAGCTCTGCAAGTGCAGTCATGGCAGCAAGCAGTGAAAGTGAAATATTGGACTATACACTCTTTAATGAAAAGGTGATCTCTTTTTCTAATTATCTAAAAAGATTGTCTTCATTCCTGTTATATGGTTCGGTTAATTTGTTTATTTAGCTGGTGTACTTTGGTGTTCTATTTTCATCATATTAGTAATGGAGTATGATTTTGTGATGCAGGTTGCCTTCCCCAACTTGGTGCAAGTGCAAATTTCCAATGCAGATGCTTTGAGAAAGATCTGGCACAACCAACTCCACTCAGATTCTTTCTACAAATTACGGGTAATGAAGGTCTCCACTCAGATTCTTTCTACAAATTACGGGTAATGAAGGTGGAATATGGCAATCAACTAGTGCAAATTTTTCCATCTAACATATTCAAGAGACTCGAGAATCTCAACGATGTGGTCATAGGGAATTGTGATTCACTAGAAGTGGTCTTCGATCTCCAAGAGCTGGTTATAAATATAACAGAATCAATAACGAGTGAATTGAGAAATTTGGATATTCGAAACCTCCAAAATTTGAAGTATGTGTGGAATAAGGATCCCCAACAAGCTCTCTCCTTTCCTAACCTGAGTTCAGTTCATGTTTGGCACTGTCCAAGCCTGAAAAACCTGTTTCCAACTTCCATTGCTAAAAATCTTCTCCAACTTAAAAAACTTGACTTAAGTAATTGTGGCTTGAAAGAACTTGTTACAAAGGAGGAAGAAGTGGAAACAAATCCTAAGTTTGCATTTCCTCAACTCAAGTCCTTGGACTTGTGGAGATTAAATGAGCTAAATTGTTTCTATCCTGGATCTCACACACTAGAATGTCCAGTTCTAGAAAAGTTGGCTGTCTTTCATTGTGACAAATTGGAGACTTTAAAAGTTGGCTGTCTTTCATTGTGACAAATTGGAGACTTTAACCTTTGAACCAGTTGACAGCAACTTGCAAGAAACACAAATGGAGAACGCGCTTTTCTCATTTAGAGAGGTACCTGTGGTCCTCAATCCCTATATTAAAGAAAATCTAAGCACGACGAGTTTTTTTCTTAACATGTCTTCAAACTATTTCAATTTGTCTTTTTTTCCAGATCATCAACAACTTGGAGCATTTATCGCTAACAAGAAAGGATGCAACAACGATATTGGAAGGCCAGTTTCCAGAAGACCTCTTTCACATGCTGAAATTCATACAGATAAATTGCTATCACGATGAATCTGCAGTTTTTCCATTTGATCTCCTTGAAAGATTCCACAGCATGGAAAAACTTGCTGTAGGGTGCAGTCAATTCAAAGAGCTGTTCCCACATGAAGGACATGTAGGTAAAGAAAAATATGTTAAGACTGTCGGGCAGATACGGCACCTAGAGTTGTATGCTCTTGCCAATTTAGAGCATATTTGGAACCAAGACTCCCAGTTAGACAAAGTTCTTCAATCTCTCGAAATTCTATCTGTTTGGCGGTGTGACAGTTTGATTACTTTAGCACCATCCTCAGCTTCTTTCCAGAATCTGACAACTATGGTTGTAAAATCTTGCAAAGTATTAGCAAGTTTGATGACGTCCTCAACAGCAAAAAGTCTGGTTCAGCTTACAAGATTGAGTATAAGGGAATGCGATATGCTGATAGAAATAGTTGCCAGCGAAGGAAATGATGGATCAAGAGAGGAGATCATCTTCAACAAATTAGAAACGCTGGAACTTCTTTATTTACCCAGCCTCGTTAGCTTTTGTGCAGCAGAGCACAGCTTCAAGTTTCCCTCTTTGACACTAGTAATTGTGGAGCAGTGCCCCAAGATGCAGGTTTTCTCAAGTGGAGTCTTAAGCACGCCAAAGCTACAAACTTTAAGAGTGACAGGAGAACAAGGACATGAAGGACGTTGGAATGGCAATCTTAACGCCACCATACAACAGTTGTTTACAGAAATGGTATGTTTTCTGAATTCAATATTCATTTCCTTTAATGAATAGGTAGGTAAGTGCATGCGTTAGTAGTTCAAGAAATCACACAATTCATTAAAAAGGTAGGTAAGTGCATGCGTTAGATAGATTCAAGAAAATCACACAAACTTCATTAAAAGACCAAAAAAAAGGAAACATTTTTCTTTAAAAAAATTGGTACTACGAGTACGTCTCAAGGCATCTATTGACCTTTTATTTGCCTCTGCTGCACTCATTTTGCCATGTCGCCAGAAATGGCAGAGGGAAAGATCAAATTCGCACATCTATTGCATGGTCGCCAGAATGCAGAGGAAGATCAATCGCCATCTATCGAGTGCTGAAGGCGTAAAAAGTCGATTTTCGTTGTGATACGAGGCAGTAGAGGCAAATGGTGTACTCTATTGATTTATGAAATGGTGGAGGATCATTTTATTTCCATGTTATTGCTGCTGTGAAGCTCTCTCTATATTTGTATTTCTTCAAGGATTCTGATATTCATCTTAAATTTGTTTTGAATAAATTATATTTCTGACTTGAAACCATCAATGAAGTGCAGAGATCTTATTTAAATTAATATACACGAGATTCTCCATGGCAAAACATCCCTCTTAACTTAACACATTCTTTTTACAATACCAGAAAAAACATTCAAGTTACCATACGATATTAAGTTGGAGGCTGAAGGGGCTAAGGCCACCCAAGAATTAAAAAAAAAAAAAAAATTCTTTTGAAAATTATATTTTGCTCTCTACAATTTGCAACAAAATTTCATTTGGCTCCTCAAAATAATTAAAATAATTGTCCTAGCTCTACCTCTGATTGCAAACAGCTTTGCTATGATGATACTAGCATTGTTTCAAGGGTGTGATGCTATAATTATAAATTTTATATCTCATTGAAAAGATAATATGAGATAATAAGAAATAAGCTAGTTGTTCCCCTTTTTTTTTTTTTAAAGAAAAAAAGATGTAATGAGAGATTTGAACGAATCACCGGACTTTTCATCAATTCGATGAGATTTATTAAAAAATGTGAGGACTCATGTAAAATTTAAGCTCAAATATTTTTTAGCTGAAAGAAATTCATTTGAAAGTGAAATTTTAATAATTTTTACTTTACATTTTCACTGTCGTTTTCGGTTCAAAATATTAATACTAAAGGAACGCCCATAATTACACAAATATAGTACAAAATATAGGTAAGATCTTAGAAAATTTTAAAAAAGTTATATTATTTTCTTTGTGTGAACCTTTTAAATGATACAAGAGTGTAAGAGAAAGGCTTGTGAACCAAAAATATGCATTTGGAGAAACGAAGACATGTTAGAAACATATATACTACACATAGCAAGGAAGTGGTAATATCCCATGAAGAAAATGACTAGAGGAGAAAAAAAGTCTTTCCTTGATTTTTGGAAGTAGAAATTGCTTCACCAACTAAATTCTATAATGACACAACCATATCAGATATAGCTTTATTATCATAAACATGTGCAAACATTTATTTTGTGGATATGCATGCAACTATAAAATAACTCAATCTTGATTTATTTATCATGTGAGTGGTTAGGATTGAATTAAAGGGAGCATGCCTCCCTAACCACATGATAGGGACTTTTGTTTATGATAAGTGTAACTTAAGGGAGCATTGTTTCAGATAAGATCATACACCGGCTAAATTTGATAATCACAATTCAAATACTCTCCGCCAATTGATAGCAACATTTTTTTTAGAGAAAATCAAATTGAAAATTTCACTAAAATTTGGTAAATTCAAATCCAAACACTAGTCATGTGTTCACAATCCATGGGCCTCAGTTTTCACAGCCCGTTTTAAGTAGACGAAATTTGCTATAGCTCAAGTGAGTTTTAATTGCTTACTTGACCTCGGTTTTAAAAAATGTTGCAAAGACTTGAAGTCAACATTATTAAATTGTAATTAAAAACTTAAAATCAAATTAAACACGATTAATTTAAATGAATTCAAATTTAGTATTGTTAATTAAAACTTAAAATCTAAAATTAAAACACGAATTATTTAAAATGAATCAAATTTAGTAAATTCTTCTTGAATATTAATATTAACTATAGTATATTAAAAAAATTCAGCTCCTGAATTTAAACCCTAAATACTCGGATACTTATTATAAAATAATGAATACAATCCAATTCTGCCTAGATTTGATGTATAAAATAATGAATACAATCCAATTCTATGCCTAGATTTGAGTGGATATGAAGTTATAAACAGAAACACGTCTAAGTCGTAGTTTCCAGTACATAAGCAGTAATCTGGATGTGCAAAAATGAAACCATCTCCACATTTTTTAACAACTCTGATGCTGCAGGCATTTCCTTCAACAACTCTGATGCTGCAGGCATTTCCTTCAAATATTAAACCTCCCCATACTTGCCTGCAACTATTTTGTTAGGCTGACAATTACTGATACAATATATGGAAGAAGGTACAATAATAAAGCACCAAGCACTGATGATAGTGCAAGTATTAGAAAACAAATTGTCCTCTACTGATTTTTAACTTGCGCGCTCTAATGGGGAACTAAACAGAAAAGGTAAATAGATTTAAGAACAAGTTAGCGATAGGACATAGACGGCCCCGCAAATGAGTACCGAGATGAAACAGGCGGTGGTGCGATTTCTGGTTTGGCTCCTTGGTATGTCTTCCTATAATCTGGTAGTGGATCAATAGCATACTTTAAGTGCAATTTATCCATTTGATCAGTCTCTCTCCTATGTAGAGGATCAGCTTCAGTTAAATAAGTCTCTTTCAGACTATCAGAATAATAGGAAGCTGAAGAAACTTCTTCTCCGTCGGCGCCTTGGCAGCACAATATGAATTACGCAGAAGGCACGTGTGATAAGAATAATATGGGATTCCCTTTGTATACGAGGTCTAACGCAGTAATCGCAGAACCAGATGTCTGCAAGGAAAACTGAGGAGCTTTGCAGGTGGCAATTAACTTTTTATCACTATTAGTATTGTCTATTTGAGCCTAATAATGGGTTTTATCAGCGAAGAAATGGCTTTATTTTGCATGGGGTTTATCACTTATATAGTAGGTGGCTATTAAGCTTCTCTCTTTTCAGTGGTATAGTCAGGGTATTATACTGTAGCACCATCGTAGGTAGTATGTTTTCGCTGAATACCATATACGATACCTTAATAGTATATATTATATCGCTGTAAGTTTCTTCTTATATACCACTCCTGGCGCAACCTTATCCCTTTTCATGTAGGGACCAGATATCCACATACCACTAACCTCTGGCAATGTTTCACGATCTGAAAACGACGTGCGCAAATCTTCGCTTCTGCCCCTCCACAAAGCTTCCCTATCTCGGCATAGTTGCCTTTGCTGGGGGATGCGTATAGGCACTGTAGCTGACTGCACGACTGAAAAATATGCAGCGTCGGGAAAGCTTCACTGAGCTTCATAACCTGAAAGGGAAATTTCGTAAAATCACATGAAATGGTACAACTGGTGAAAATAAGGAGGAATAACCATAAAAACTACGCAGGTTAAAACAAGTAATTCTACTTGATCGAAACAAGTAAGTTTCTATCTTGGAACTTGTTCTTTCTCATACGTAGTTGTCTTTCTATAGCCCTCTTGAAGAACACTTCCACGGGAGTGGGAAATCAATCCTTATGCGATAACTGGAAAACGTACCTGAACTATCAAAAAGATGATACAGTCTAACAGATCGTAACTTAACATTGGTGAAGAAACAAACAATGTTTACCGAGATAAGTTAGACTGGGATATACTAAAACATTCACCCTGAACTGGAGAAGGATCCACCAAAGCCTTTGGGCTCCAGTCTTCATCCCACCAGAAGATGAAGACTTTATAAAATTCCATACATAAAGTCTCAAGATCAAAAATCATAGAGGAAACAAAGCCTTTAGTCCAGGTTTCCACACCCAGCACAAAGGGTCTTTTTTATCTTCCTGTTGACTACCATACTTGATATCGGAAACGAATTCTTGGCTTGGTCACTTTATGCACTTACAACATAAAGATCAAACACCCGAGCTCTCCTTTTCGTTTCAATTACTCTTATGACTTCATTTCCTCAACATTCAAGCTTTCCTTTGTTATTCTTTGACTATCTCGAGTTCTGATTCTGTAATTGCCAGGCTCTTCACTGCTTAAGTTACTTTCTTCCGTCTACTTGAACCAGGCATCCTTTTCTTGGCTCTTTGAGGTCTCCAGGTAGCTTTTGCATTGTGCTCTTCATGGGCACCTTTCTTTTTTAAGTTTCTCTATCCTAGAAATTTGGGTCTGCGTCATTCTTGTGTCCTGTCTGTTACCTCCTTTCACATTCAGTTTTTCCTTTGTTTTTTTTGAACTCCTGGAGTCTTTCTGTACTGCCAGGCTTTTCCTTTCGCTCCTTAGGTTACTTCCGCTCCGACTTGACCAGCAACCCTTTCATTGGCTATTTTCGTCTCTTGCTGTTTTGCATTGTGCTCTCGATGGGCCTTTGTTTTGTCCTCTTTCTACAGAATTTGGTTTCTCAGAATTTGGGTTCTGATCATTCTTGTGCTCTTGCCTGTCACCTTCCTTGTTCTCTTGGACAACATTGTTATTCTTCTTCTTTCTGTTTCTTCCCCAAGTTCGTGGATTATCTTTAGCTTTCTTGACCTTCAATGATTTCTTCTTAACTTCAGATTTGGCCCTCAATGATTTGGGGTTTATTTTTTTGGATGATTCTGGTTTAATTGGTGTTTCACCAGGATTCCCAGATTCCTTATTTTGCATTGCACTTGATGGTGATTCGGTGGAGGTTTCCACAGGATTCTTAGCTTCCTCATTGTTTTTTTCAGGTGATACTGATGTAGCTTGTGCTTCAGCAGAATTGCCTGAATCTTTATTGGCATTATCTTGTTCCATGTACCCTATGAAATTGTATAGGGGAGAAAAATACCCGATACTTTTTGGCATTTCTTTTATTGTAAGTTACACATGATTTATTAGCTCAAAATTAAAAGTGGAATTATCTTTTTGGAAGATGTAACTTATTATCTTTTTGGAAGATGTAACTTTTTTTGTATAAAGTATCAATCCTTTTGTACAGCTGATATTTAATAGATAAGCCAAACTTAAAGTTCTGTATTTATGTTAAGCTAGATTTGACTTGAGCAGTTTCAGTGATTTCGTCATTTCACATATCCAGTTATTCCTTCATTTCACATATCCAGTTATTCCTTTGCAAATATGTTTGATATTCACCACTATAAGGTGCATTTTTTGGCTTTCTGTTTTGTCATTTTTATGTATCCACTTCTGTCCTTGTGCAGGCATTGTCTTCTTTGTATATATGGGACAATTGCCCTTGCGTTGGTTCGTGCAGGAAGATTGAAAGAATTAAGGGTTGTATATATTTTAACTGGTAAAATTAACTTTAGTTATCTTCTAGTTGATGGCAGTTATGCTTGTGAATGTAGTGTCTAACTTTTCCTTATTTGCAGTTTACTATGGCATTGAAAATTCATTTAGTAGTCCAGCTCCACATGTTGTACAGGTAGACATGATGAATTCTTACCATTCTTCTCTGGCACTTTATTGCACTTTTCATGTTTTTATTGCACTTTTCTATTTATGTTTTCATTAATTGTTATTTTCTGTTTGCAGTGGCTGTTGGGCTCATATAACACACAAATGCTTCTTATGGTGTTTCTTGCCATAGTTTCTCTCTTATTAGCAGGATTCTTTGGGTACCATGCCAACCTGTGTCGAATGAATACCACGACTAATGAGGTCTGGTCTAGTTTCTCTGTAATTTGTTCAACTAGTTTTATCTTTTCTCTTGGACATAGGCAGAATAATTTACAAAATGGGAGAAGCACGTACTATCCCTGATTCCATTTCTTTTTTATGGGTCAAAAATGGAATCAAATGTGTTGTTGAACAATGAATAACTACCACAACTGCAGTGCTATGCATGTTTGCCTCTTCTGGTTAATTTCAGGACAAAAACATTGCATCTTAATTCTTAAATAACTTCACGTAACTTTAAGAAGTTTATGTAAAGTAGTTTCCTTCCCTCAGGCTTATTTGTGGAATAATCGGTTCTGCAATGTCAGTAAGGATCAAACTCTTTCCCATAAGAGTTCTTGTGATGGCTGTATCGATCTTTACATGTGATGTTATTAAAGTAGTTGATGTAATTTGTTGTTTTTTTTTTCTTTTTTTAATAAAAATTATTTCTGGTAGTTTATGGTAGTTAAAGCCATTTCTCTCCCTCACTCTATTGGCAGATTCAAATTGTTGCCTTACTTCTTTCGGTAAACAATTAATCCCTGAAACTTACATCTCTGTGTTCTTTGACTTTTTGGTTGGGATTTACAGACCTTCAAGTGGCAAGAGTACCTTGTCTGGCAAAAGAAGGTAAATGAAGCAAGGGTTAGTGCCGCGGCACTAAAAGCAAGCATCAGTGAGATGGGTGACAAAACAAAGAATTCAGAGAGCAAACGCAGAGGCTTTTGCCGGAGATCACCCCTCAAAGATGCTGAGGTTTTAGTTAAGAGAAACGTGTATGATAAGGGATTCTTTCACAATCTTTGTGAGGTAATTGTGAGGTAATCTTTCCGCTGTCAACAAGACCATCATGTTTGAGGAAAAAATCAAAGTCTCGCTGAGATAGTTGTGATCAAGCATTAACTGGGTAGTTTCTATAGCTTTTCCCTTGATAGGAGCTTGAACCCATACTGCATGTTCAATATATTATAATAGAACGTAATGGAATGTAATTCAATATGATAAAAAGACGTAATGGAATGTAATTCAATATGATAAAAAGATAATAAAATAATAAACTATTCCATTGCGCTCCATTATATATTACCAAACATGCATGTAGAGAACGCTGTGAAGCTTATATTTTATTTGCTGATGGAATAGGCAAAAATATAAGCAGCATAGCAAAAATATAAGCAGCATAGCATATGGCCTTCACCTTGCAGAGTGAAGTTTGCGAGAGTTTAATCATAATCCTGCATTTTTACATTTTATTTTGGTGATGAACATAATTATTACTGAAATATGAAAGTGTAAGATCATAATAGGTCTTTCCAAAACTTGAGAGGGTGTCACAAATTGCACAAACTTTACCTTTTTCTTTTTTCTCTTTTTATAAGTGGTTCTAGCTTCTCATGTTATGATTTGTCTTGTCTTCCCGAAAACTTTTTTTAGGTTCACAACTTGCAATGTGACCATCTATGTACTATTCCATAATTTAATTATTTAAAACTATATTCAATAAACTGTGAGCAGAAAAGTAAAAAAAAAAAAAGAAAATTCCTTTTTAAAAAAGGACAATTGTCTTTCATGGAATTTTTTTTGAGAATAAAGCTCAATTTGTTTACTCGACTTAGCAAACTATAAGCTACTTAAAAATTAATTTTTTTATATAATTTATCTCTTGAACTTACACAAAAAGAAGAAAAAGCTTATTTTTTTTAAAAAAAATTATTTTAAATATTTTTAATTAATAAAAATAATTTAAAAGTTTAGACTTAAAAAAGAAAAAATAATTTAAAAAATTACAATATAATTAAACAAAATTACAATATAATTAAACAAAATAATTAAATTGCTTTCAAATTCTAAAGGTAAATTATTCGAAAAGATTTTTGAACAAATTATACATTGTTCCACGTTCAAAGGGCAAATTGGATCGGAAGTTAAAAGTTTTTATATATAATGGTTTGGTTCGAATGGATGGTTTTCAAAACCATATAACCGAACTAAAAGCTCAAGTTTTAAATTTTACAAAAGCAAATCAAATCATCAATTATCGAAAACCACAGTCAATTTCAGCAGTGAGATGAATAGCACTATCATCTTCAAGGACAAATCAAATTTATTCAAGTGGTATAGATTTGGAAACTTTCTTTAGCTTCCACTGTGCATAAATAATGACTCAAAGCTTCTCTCATAACTCCTTGAATGCCATTGTAATATAAAATTAGTCCACAACGTAAACTCATGCCAGTTTGTCCTGTGAAGCAACTTGGCCTCGCTGCATTTATTAGTGTCTTCAATGTCAAAATGATCATTTGCATGTAGAACATTCTATAATCAATCAACAACTTTGTGTGTAAACAAGCAGATTAGCCTCAATAGAACATTCTATAATCAATCAACAACTTTGTGTGTAAACAAGCAGATTAGCCTCAAGTCAAACTGCTGAAATCATAATTGTTAATTTAACCAGTTCATGCATGATGATCAAGTAAATCTGAAAAAGAGTGGTTGTGATGTGATCGTCACCACAACCTACTGTAGCAACAGCTTCGTTATTTAAGTCTGGGGAAGCAGGCTGTTTTACTTCACTTCAAGCCTTCACCCGCTTCTTTCTCTTTCTCTTCTTTGATCAGCCATTCTAAGCTTTCGCCAAGTGATCATGTAACGATCATATGTTTTCTGTGTCTGAAATAGTAATTTATTAGTCTGTGAATAGTATTGCTGGTTCGAAAATTGATATTATTTTTATCCGAAAAAATTACTATATATGTTTTATATTTTATTTAATATTTTTGGAGCATACATGCATAATTTTTATGGGTAAAAAATAAGTAATGAATATTTTTGAAAAATTTAGATAATTAGTTAATAGTGAATTATGGTGTTATATTAATTAAGGAAATTTGAAGAATTTATTTTTTTGAGTAAATTTAAAAATTTTGTGGAGATAAATAGTATTTTTAAAAAATTTAATTGGAGAATATTTTTAGCCATTAGATTATATTACCATAAACTAAATCTTAACCACCAAATTCTTGTCAAAGACTAAAAAGCCCTTTAGTAAAGTCAACTCAAATAATTGAGCTACCATAGCTACCATTTCTCTTCTTCTTCTTCTCCTTTGGGCGTTTAACTCCTCCTCCTTCTTCTTTCTCTTTGTTTGTTTTTCTTCGCTTCCTAGCTAAATCCACCGAATTTACTCCATTTAACTTGCTTAAGTAATAGATCCTAGAGATTAAAGCTTGAAAATTGATTTTTGGTGACTAAGTTCAAGAAATTTGGAGAGTTAATACTTAAGCCAAGTAAGTGATCACTTCCTTCCTGCAGATTAAGGATTTCAAATTCCTTCTTTTGTTTGCTTTTATATTCCATTCCTTCGTATTTAGTCTGTTTTCTCCTTGTTGTTTTCCATTTCTCATTTTGATTCCAAAACCACAATCTTTTCTCCTCTCTGTTCTTTTTATGTTAATTGCTTATTATTAGTTTATGTTAATTGCTTATTATTTAGTTGATTTTCTTCCAATTCTCAATCTTTTCCTGTCCTGAAAGTTTGTTTCTTATTCCTAAAAAAAAAAAAAAAAAAAAAAAAAAAAAAAAAAAACAAAAAAAAAAAGAACCAATTAAGGAGCAAATGGACACACTTGTGGGAACTGGAGTAACAAAAGTTACAGAACCGTTGATTGATTCAGTATTGCGTCAAATTGGGTATATATGGAACTACCGGGACAACCTCCAGAGCTTGAGAGCTCAAGTACAAAAACTGAAAGGTGAAATGCAAGTTTTGGAGCATAAAATGGAGAATGCTAGACAAAAAGGAGAACAAATTGAAGATCTTGTGAAGAGCTGGCTGAAAGATGCGAATGAGAAAATTGAAGCTTCTGAGAAAATTTTGGAAGATAATGACAGAGCGAATCATTTTTGCTTTATGGGATGCTGTCCTAATATGAAGACCCGCCACCAGTTCAGCAGAAAAGCAAATAAAAAGACACAAGTTCTGGTTGAGGTTCGAAACGAAGGCAAGTTTGAGAAAATCTCCTACCGCACTGCTCTCAAGGGGATAGGCCCTCCTAAGGATTATGAAGCCTTTGAATCCAGAATGCTAATTTTGAACCAAATGCTGGAGGCTCTAAAAGATGTTGATGTTACTATGATTGGGGTGTATGGAATGGGAGGTGTGGGCAAGACAACACTAGCAAAAAAAAAAAAAAACTTGCCAAACAAGTTGAGGAAGATGGAATTTTCAAGGTGGTGGTTATAGCAACGGTAACCTCTAATGTAGACTTGAAAAGAATTCAACAAGAGATCGCAGAGTGGTTAAGGTTCCCTCTTGACGCGGAGGCCCCCACACCGAGGGCAGCTTCGTTATGCTTAAGACTGAAACAGGAGGAGAAAATTCTTGTAATTCTTGATGACGTTTGGGCACAAATCAAACTAGAAGATATCGGAATTCCTCTTGGCACCGAACATAAAGGATGCAAGATACTGAGATGCAAGATACTGATGACATCCAGAAATCTAAATGTATTGCATGAGATGGGCACAGAGAGGACTTTCAAGCTTCAAGTTTTAGAGGATGAAGAGGCAAGGCAATTATTTGAGAAGAAGGTGGGAACTCTAAAACATTCGCTGATAAAACCTATGACAAATGAAGTTGCGAAGAGATGTGCAGGTTTGCCAATTTCAATTGTGGCAGTTGCAACAGCATTGAAAAATAAGGGGTTGGAAGAATGGAAGGATGCATTGGAACGCCTGAAAAGGTCTGGTGAGGATGATATGGATAAGCAAGTTCAATCTTGTTTTGATTTAAGCTACAGATATTTGGAAAATGATGAAATCAAATTACTATTCTTACGTTTAAGCGCATATTTATTTCTTAGCGATAGAGTAGACCAATTGCTGAAATATGTTTTGGGCTTGAGTTTATTCGAGGGATGCAGAAACTTAGAGGAAACAAGAAATAGACTTCATAAGTATGTTAATGACCTCAAATCCTCATGTTTGCTGCTAGAAGGTCAGAGGGATGGAGAAGTCAAAATGCACGACGTTGTTCGCAGTTTTGCTATTTCAACTGCATCTAGGGATCATCACGTCTTCACTGTAGCATATGACAAGGTATTAGAATGGCCACCTAAATCTAAACTTGAACAGTGCACCGCAATCTCTTTATATTTTACTGAAATTCCTGAGCTTCCGACAACACTTGAATGCCAGCAACTGCAATCATTTCTACTAGTTTATCCTGGTTTGGGTCTCTCGTTAAGAATCCCAGATGACCTTTTTACTATGACAACAGAACTGAAAGTTTTGGATTTAACAGGCATAAGTATCCCAGATGACCTTTTTACTATGACAACAGAACTGAAAGTTTTGGATTTAACAGGCATAAGTTTATTGTCACTACCTTTGTCAATTCAAATTCTTGAGAATCTTCAAACCTTGTGTTTGGATTATTGTAAGTTGGAAGATATAAGTATAATCATAAAGCTAAAGAAGCTACAAGTTCTCAGCCTTATGAACTCTGATATTGTTCGATTGCCAAGGGAATTGGAGCAGTTGACTCATCTGCGACTTCTAGATTTGAGCAACTGTTCTAGCCTAGAAGTGATTCCTCGCAATGTCCTGTCAAAGTTAGTCCGATTGGAGGACTTGCGTATGGGTAATAGCTTTGTCCAATGGGAGGGTGAAAAACAAGGTGGTGTAGGGAAAAATGCTAGCCTCTCTGAATTGAAGGCTCTATCAAATCTAGTAGCTCTAGACATACACATTCTTGATGCAAACATACTGCCTAGAGATTTGTTCTCTGAAAAGCTGGAGAGATTTAGAATATTCATTGGGGATGGGTGGAATTGGTCCAAGGATATGTATGCAACGTCAAAAGTGTTGAAACTCAAGCTTAACACAAGTGTTAACCTTGAGGAAATAAAAGTCTTATTGAAGACAACTGAACATCTACATTTGGATGAGCTGAACGGTGTAAAAAATATCCTCCATGAGTTAGACGAAAAAGGTTTTCCATACTCGAAGAAACTCTACGTCCAAAATAGTCTTGATATTGAACATATTATAGACTGGAGGAGGATGAACCATTTCATTGCTTTCCCCAAGTTGGAGTCATTATTTCTACAAAATTTAAAGAAATTGGAGAAGATTTATCACGGCCGTTATGTTATCAACGGCCCCGTTATGTGATGGGTCTTTCAGCAATTTAAGAAGACTTAGGTCAGAAATTGTTAAATGTAATTGAAGAAATCTCTTTTCCGGTTCTCTATGCTCAACGGGTCTTGTGGTGTCGAAAAATAAAATGTAAGCGTTGTGAAAATTTGAAAGAGAATTGTCTGCTATGGAAACAGAGAAATTTGGAAAATTAAGTTGCACAGTTTTTACGCAAAATTGAAATTGGAGGGATTTAACCGTCAGCTTACATGCTTTTGCTCCAAGGGCTCCCAAGGGGATGTGCCTTCCATTTCCCAAAAGCCAGCAACAGCTTCTACGAGCTCTGGAGAGGTCATATTGGAGGATGAATCTGCAACTCTTTCGCTACTTTCCAGCAAAAAGGTACGCTCCATATCCTTTTTCTAGTCGGATTTTTTTTTTTTTCCAAACAAAGTATATATATATAAAGGGGTAAATTAAATTATACGTAGAAGTAATATTAATAACTAAATACAAATACGGTTTATTTCTCATGTATTAAGTGGAAATACTTGACAATACATTTCTCTGAACTTAATAATAATTAATTAATAGTTAATAATATTAAATATATTAATTTAAATTTTATATTGCTACATATATAATTAATATATATCATATTTATTATACAATATCTAAAGTTTTTTTTTAATTAGTATTATATATATTAGGTTTAAAAACTGTTATTGTTAATATTTCTTACTTAATTGTTCAAATAACAATCCTTAAATTAAAAGTTTTAGATAATAATTTTCTATTTAATGTCCATTTCCCTATTAGTATGTTTTGGAGTTGACAGTACTCAAATTTATTTTTCTTGAAACACAAATTGTGTCTACAGATTCAATTCCCCAATTTGGTAGATCTGAAATTAGCTTCAATCAATGTGGAGCAGATATGGCCCAATCAACTTACAGAATTATCTCCATGGATTACAAACTTAACAAGATTGATTATTGACACCTGCGAGAATTTAAGTTATTTATTCACATCTTCTATGGTTGAAAGCCTCGCGAAACTCATACACATTGAGATAAGGGATTGCAAATCCATGAGAAAGACAGTCATAGTTCAAACCCGAGAAGAATGGAAGAGCAGTAATGCTATTCCCTAAACTCGGTCTCCATGAAGGCTAAAGGCCTTCCCGAGTCTCAGAAGATTTTTGCCGAAGTTCATAGAATGTCCCTCCTTGAAAGTGCTGTGGATAGAGAATTGCCCGCAACTCCAAGCATTTATCTCTAGTTCCAGAAGGACATATGCGGGAACTAGTGGGCAAGCAAACTCAACTCTCTTTGATGAAAAGGTTATTTCTTTCTTATCTGTTTACGTTCATCTTTTAGTTTTCAGAATTTGATGTTAACTCCATGAAATTTTTACTTCAGATTTTGTTTCCCAACTTGGAAAATCTGCGTATCACGAACATGCACACATTGAAGATGATATGGAACGATGAACTCTGGGAGGATTCCTTTTGTAGATTGAAAGTACTCGAAGTAAAGCATGGAAAAGAACTATTGAAAGTTTTTCCATCTAAACAGTTGCTGAGATTCAAGAACTTAGAAATATTGATGGTTAATGATTGTAATTTAGTGGAAGAGGTATTTGATCTCCAAGTATTGATGAAAATACAAGAAGAAACAGATGTTGTAGCAACCACTCAGACTCAATTGAGATTTTTGAATATAACAGGACTCCCAAACTTGAAGAATGTATGGAATGGGGATCCTAGTGGAATTTTGTCCTTTCGTTACGTACAAAATGTGTATGCATGGAATTGTCCGAATTTGAAAGAGCTATTCCCATTTTCAATAGCTCAATGTCTTCCACAACTTGAACTGCTGGATATAGATGGTTGCGGGATGGAGGAAATTGTTGCCAAAGAGGAAAGAGCAGAAGCAACTCCTAAGTTTACATTTAGTCGACTGAAGTCCTTAACCCTTTGGAGATTATATGGATTAAAGTGTTTTTACTCAGAAAACCACATCTTAGAATGTCCGCGGTTAGAAAAATTGAGTGTCTATCGCTGTGATAAATTGGAAATTTTTACTTCAGAACCTGGGGATTTGCAAACAATGGATTTGGAGAAGCAGGAGACTCAATTGAAGATTCAGGTTCCGCAGCCATTTTTTTCATTTAGAAAGGTATGTAAGAAAACAGGTTCCCCGCAGCCATTTCTTTTTCATTTAGAACAAGGTATGTAAAAAACTGTGCTTTTTTTTCAATTTAATATTTTACAAGAAAAAATTTTTAAAAAACTTATAAAACAAATATTTTTCCTTTTGGGAAACAAAAATTTGATTTAATTCGTCTTGGTTCGTAGATCATATAAACTGTATTTGCTATAAACGGACTATAACTCAACTTGATTTCTATTCAAAATGGGTTTCCAGATTATTCCCAATTGAAGCATTTATCATTAAGATAAAAGGAACACCTCAACGATTCGTCAAAGGCCAGTTTCCCAAGCACACAAACTAGAATTCTCATTGAATTGAATTGTTTTCCCTTGATGGTTCAACAGATTCTGCATTTGGTCTCATTCATAAATTTCCAAATATTAAAAGGCTTGCTCCTGGCAACTTTTTTCAAAGTGCTATTCCAACCATGGTATTCTTGGTGAAGCTGACAGCGGGCTCTCGCTCGGCTGCAATTCTTAAAACTGGAAAACCTTCCGCAATCATGAGCCACATTGTGGAGCTGAAGATTGGCCACCCTGGGCATGTTTTCCAAATTTGAGGCTTTAGAAGTATGGGTTTAGCCCCAGTTTGATTATACTTGGCCCCGTCAACCGCAATCTTTTCAAAACCTTCTCCTCTTGATTTTTGGCATGTGATCAACTAGTCCAACCTAGTCGCATCCTCTACTGCAAACAGTAAAGGTGAACCATCACGAAATTGACTGTAAGAGATAGCAATATGCTAAAGAAAATTGCTAGCCAACGAGGGGAAATGAATAAATCCCATCTCGCAACCTCAGATTATTCTCAAGTAAATTGTAACCTTCTAGAGTCTGTGGCTTGAAAAACTGGAACTACGCTTCTGCTCAATTCGGTGAGGATAGTTTATGCAACCATTCAGAGTTCATCAGAATGGCATGTTGTAGAAGTTGAGTGTAAGTTGTTCGGCACAGTGCCCAACATGAAGATTTTCTCTCAAAGGAGTCATAAACCTCACCACGAGCTAAAGAGAGTAATATCAGAACAAGGATGAGAATAAATGGCTTTTGATTGGGGACCTGATAGCCGAACATAAACCATTGTATGAAAGAATGGTAAGTTTGATAGATCTCCTTCTTGGGGGGCCTTTTTATTTTTTTTCCGGATTTCTATTTGTTTCTTGGTCCATGAGAATAATTAATTTGTTACAGACTTGCAATCACTAAAGCACAATTTTGCTTTCTAGGTTGGATTTAGTGGCCTGCAGCATTTGAAACTCTCAGAATTTCCCCGATTAAAACAAATCTGGCACGACCAACTTCCAGTACAGTTATTCTGCAATTTAAATACGCTGGTGATCGATGATTGCAGATTTACCTTTAGCTCAGTTCCATCCAATCTAATACCATTTTTGGGTAAATTGGAAGAGCTTGAGGTAAGAAATTGTGATGCAGTAGAACGAATATTTGGTCTAGAATGGCTAAATCCGAGTGGATTTGTTGGACATTTTTCAAAGTTAACAAGCTTGACTGTGCATGGTTGTGGCAATTTAAAATATCTCATGGTTGTGGCAATTTAAAATATCTCTTATCATCATCAATGATTAAAAGTATTGTGCATCTCCAAAGAATTGAGATATGTGATTGTAAAAAGATGGAGCAAGTAACAGTCGGGGACGGTTCAGAAGAAGAAACGAGGATGCTACTACGTGAACTAGGGTTCCTGAAACTTGGAGGTCTTCCGAAACTCACACGATTCTGCACATGTGATTTGATTGAATGTCCTGCATTACACTTAAATGAGCTGCAATTATAAAGTTGCCCTGTATCGATGACATTTGTCTCCAGTTTCTGCAAGTGATGTCATGGCAGCAAGCAGTGAACGTGAATATTGGAGTTTTCTATACACTCTTTCAAATGAAAAGGTGATTTTTTTCTAATTATCTAAAAAGCTTGTCTTTCATTCCTGTTATTGGTTCGGTTAATTTTGTTATATTTAGCTGGTGTAGCTTTCGATGTTTCTATTGTCATCATCATTAGTAATGGAGTATGATTTTTGTGATGCAGGTTGGCCATTCCCAAATACTTGGTGCAAGTGCAAATTTTCGAATGCAGATTGCTTTTGAGAAGATCTGGCACAAACCACTTCACCTCAGTTTCTTTTCTACAGAATTACGGGTATAGGTGGAATATGGCAATCATGGTGCAGAATTTTTCCGATTAACATATTAGAGACTCGATGAATCTAGGGATAGTGGTCCATAAGGAATTGTGATTCACATAGAAGTGGGTCCTTCGATCTCACAGAGTCTGGTTATAAATATAAACAGAATAATAACGAGGTGAATTGAGAGATTTGGATATTCGAAACCTCCAAAAATTTTTGAAGTATGTGTGGAATAAGGATCCAACAAGCTCTCTCCCTTTCTAACCTGACGTTCGAGTTCATGTTTGGCATTGGTCTGGCTCCAAGCCTGAAAAACCTGTTTCCAACTTCCATTTGCTAAAACAATTTCTCAACTTAAAACACTTTAAACTTTAGATGATTGTGGCTTTGAAGAATTTGTTACAAAGGAGGAAGGAGGTGGAACAAATCCTAAGTTTGCATTTCCTCAACTGCAAGTCCTTGGACTTGTGGAGATTAAATGAGCTAAATTGTTTCTATCCTGGATCTCAACACCTAGAATGTCATTTTAGAAAAAGTTGGTTGTCCCCTTTCATTCGTGACAAATTGGAGACTTTAAGCCTTGAAACCAGTTTGAAGCACTTGCAAAAACACAAATGGAGAAGACCCTTTTCTCTTTTCTCATTTAGAGAGGTACCTGTGGTCCTTAATCTCTATATTAAAGAAAATCTAAGCACGTGAGTTTTTTTCTTAACATGTCTGCAAACTATTTGAATTTGTCTTTTTTTCCAGATCATCAACAACTTGGAGCATTTATCGCTAACAAGAAAGGATGCAACAACGATATGTCAAGGCCAGTTTCCAGAAGACCTCTTTCACATGCTGAAAGTCATAGAGATAAATTGCTATCACGATGAATCTGCAGTTTTTCCATTTGATCTCCTTGAAAGATTCCACAGCATGGAAAAACTTGCTGTAAAGTGCAGTCAATTCAAAGAGTTGTTCCCACATGAAGGACATGTAGGTAAAGAAAAATATGTTAAGATTGTGGAGAAGATACGGCACTTAGAGTTGGATGGTCTTGCCAATTTAGAACATATTTGGAACCAAGACTCCCAGCTAGACAAAGTTCTTCAGTCTCAAGACTCCCAGCTAGACAAAGTTCTTCAGTCTCTCGAAATTCTAGATGTTTCGGGGTGTGACAGTTTGATTACTTTAGCACCATCCTCAGCTTCTTTCCAGAATCTGACAACTATGGATGTAAAATCTTTCAAAGTATTAGCAAGTTTGACGACATCCTCAACAGCAAAAAGTCTTGTTCAGCTTACAAGATTGAGTGTAAGGGAATGCGATATGCTGATAGAAATAGTTGCCAGCGAAGGAAATGATGGATCAAGAGAGGAGATCATCTTCAACAAATTAGAAAGTCTGGAACTTCTTTCTTTACCCAGCCTCGTTACCTTTTGTGCAGCAGAGCAGAGCTTCAAGTTTCCCTCTTTGACACTAGTAATTGTGGAGCAGTGCCCCAAGATGCAGGTTTTCTCAAATGGAGTCTTAAGCACGCCAAAGCTACAAACCTACAAACTTTAAGAGCGACAGAAGAACAAAAAGTTGATGAAGGACGTTGGAATGGCAATCTTAACGACACCATACAACAGTTGTTTACAGAAATGGTATGTTTTCTGAATTAAATATTCATTTCCTTTAATGAATAGGTAGGTAAGTGCATGCGTTACTAGTTCAAGAAATCACACAATTCATTAAAAGACCAAAAAAGGAAAACCATTTCTTTAAAAATTGGTAACTAGAGTCGTCCTCAAGCATTATCTGACTTTATTGCCTCTGCTGCATATTTTGCATGGTCGCCAGAATGCAGAGGAAGATCAATCGCCATCTATCGAGTGCTGAAGGCGTAAAAAGTCGATTTTCGTTGTGATACGAGGCAGTAGAGGCAAATGGTGTACTCTATTGATTTATGAAATGGTGGAGGATGTGGAGGATCATTTATTCTCCATTTGTTGCTGCTCGTGGAAGCTCTCTCTATATTTTTGTATTTAATTCAAAGGATTTCTGATATTCATCTTAATAAGGATTCTGATATTCATCTTAATATTTGTAATTATACTAGAAATTTTTCACACAATTGCATTATCTTAAATTTGTTTTAAATAAATCTATATTTCTGACTTGAAACCATCAATGAAGTGCAGGGATCTTATTTAAATTAATATACACGAGATTCTCCATGGCAAAACATCCCTCTTAACTTAACACATTCTTTTTACAATATCAGAAAAATATTCCAGTTACTGTACAATCTTAACTTTCTTCATTGAAAATCTACAGCCCAAGCTTTCATCTCCTTCAGGTTCAATTCAAATCCAAACACTAGGCCCTCGGACTAGTCATGTGTTCACAATCCATGGGCCTCAGTTTTCACAGCCCGTTTTAAGTAGACGAACTTTGCTGTAGCACAAGTGAGTTTTTATTGCTTACTTGACCTCGGTTTTAAAAAATGTTGCAAAGACTTGAAGTCAACATTATTAAATTGTAATTAAAAACTTAAAATCAAATTAAAACCGATTAATTTAAATGAATTCAAATTTAGTAAATTCTTTCTTGACATATTAATATTAATATATATTTAAAATTCAGCTCCTGAACTTTAAACCCCTAAAATACTCGGATTACTATAGATAAAATAATGAATACAATCCAATTCTATGCCTAGATTTGAGTGGATATGAAGTTATAAACAGAAACACGTCTAAGTCGTAGTTTCCAGTACATAAGCAGTAATCTGGATGTGCAAAAATGAAACAATCTCCACATTTTTTAACAACTCTGATGGTGCAGGCATTTCCTTGAAATATTAAACCTCCCCTTACTTGCCTGCAACTATTTTGTTAGGCTGACAATTACTGATACAATGCATGGAAGAAGGTACAATAATAAAGCACCAAGCACTGATGATAGTGCAAGTATTAGAAAACAAATTGACTTGAGCACTGATGATAATATCAATCCTTTTGTACAGCTGATATTTAATAGATAAGCCAAAATTAAATTTCTGTATTTATGTTAAGCTAGATTTGACTTGAGCAGTTTCAGTGCTTTCGTCATTTCACATATCCAGTTATTCCTTTGCAAATATGTTTGATATTCACCACTATAAGGTGCATTTTTTGGCTGCTTTCTGTTTTTGGATCCATTTTTTATGTATGCCACTTTGTCCTTTGTGCAGGCCATTCGTCTTCTTTCGTATATATGGGACAATTGGCACTTGGTTGGTTCTTGCAGGGCAGGAAGATTGAAAGAATTAAGGGTTGTATATATTTTGACTGGTAAAATTAACTTTAGTTATCTTCTAGTTGATGGCAGTTATGCTTGTGAATGTAGTTTCTAACTTTTCCTTATTTGCAGTTTACTATGGCATTGAAAATTCATTTAGTAGTCTAGCTCCACATGTTGTACAGGAAGACATGATGAATTCTTACCATTCTTCTCTGGCACTTTATTGCACTTTTCTATTTATGTTTTCATTAATTGTTATTTTCTGTTTGCAGTGGCTGTTGGGCTCATATAACACACAAATACTTCTTATGGTGTTTCTTGCCATAGTTTCTCTCTTATTAGCAGGATTCTTTGGGTACCATGCCAACCTGTGTCGAATGAATACCACGACTAATGAGGTCTGGTCTTAATGAGGTCTGGTCTAGTTTTCTGTAATTTGGTTCAAACTGTTTCATCTTTTTCTCTTGGAAATAGGAATGAAGCATAGGGAATAACGCAGAATAATTTATAAAATGGAGGACAGCACTGACTATCGGCCTGATTCCATATCTTTTTTTTATGGGGTCGACAATGGAATCAACTTGCTGTTGTTTGAACAATGAATAACTACCGACAACTACAGTGCTATCACATGTTTGCCTCTTTGGTAATTTCAGGACAGAAAACATATGCATCTTAATTCTTTAAATAACTTCAACGTGGACTGCTTGAGATAGTTTTGTTTAAGTAGCTTTCTTCCCTCAGGCTTATTTGTTGGTGAGTTCAAATAATCGGTTCTGCAATGTCAGTAAGGATCAACTCTTTCCATAAGAGTTCTTGTGGATGGCTGTATCGGATCTTTACATGTGATGTTATTAAAGTAGTTGATGTAATTTTTGTTGGTTTTTTCTTTTTTTAATAAAAATTATTTAAATTATTTCTGGTAGTTTATGGTAATTAAAGCCATGCCTCTCCCTCTCTCTATTGGCAGATTCAAATTGTTGCCTTACTTCTTTCGGTAAACAATTAATCCCTGAAACTTACATCTCTGTGTTCTTTGACTTTTTGGTTGGGATTTACAGACCTTCAAGTGGCAAGAGTACCTTGTCTGGCAAAAGAAGGTAAATGAAGCAAGGGTTAGTGCCGCGGCACTAAAAGCAAGCATCAGTGAGATGGGTGACAAAACAAACCATTCAGAGAGCAAATGTAGAGGCTTTTGCCGGAGATCACCCCTCAAAGATGCTGAGGTTTTAGTTAAGAGAAACGTGTATGATAAGGGATTCTTTCACAATCTTTGTGAGGTAATCTTTCCGCTGTCAACAATGTTAAAGTTATAGTTACAGCTCCATTGAAGTAAAATTGATGCAAGTGTTGTTGACAGTTTTTGGAGAAATTTTGTTAAAGTCATTTAGATTTTGTTGTTTTGTTGAAGTCAAGAGGTAGGTGAACTACCTTGCTTTTAGGTAAGTTTGGTGAACAAACTTTTTTGACTTATGGAAGGTTGGTAAACAAACTTTAGAATAGCTCTAGTATAAATATTTACATTATGTTGTAATAAAAATGAGATGTAAATATTTGTTTCTCCACACTTACAAAATCTGCAGATTTTTCCTTCTCTACAGAATTTTCCTTCTCTTTCTTATTTTTCTGCTCTTCTAAACCAACACTTACATAGCCTGATTTAGAGAGGTATATATAACTTTTGGGTGGCATGAGTCTATTGAATCCTTGAACAATTCAACAAATAAACAACTCTAAGTTTTTTCAAACAAATAGGAGAGACTATTCTTTGATTCTAAAGAATCCATGAAAATGTGAATCTAGACACAAAAGGACAGTAGGTGGAGCAAAATGATTCTTGAAGTCAACCCCCAAGCCTTTCGAATTAATATTACCCATTATATATTACCAAACATGCATGTAGAGAATGCTGTGAAGCTTATATTTTATTTGCTGATGGAATAGGCAAAAATATAAGCAGCATAGCATATGGCCTTCACCTTGCATAGTGAAGTTTGATGGCTATTTTAGTGCAGAGACATTACTTATTCTGTAAGAAGAACATTGGGAGATTTTGCTTAATGCTTGAGCATGTATATTATTTTTCTTTTATAGATTCGATGAGGTTTAAATGGAGGAAGGGTTTATTCGAAAGTCAGCATGTACACTTCATTTATGTTTTTCTTTTGGCCTAATGTTTATATTTACTCTTAACATTTTAGGAGATTTGCCTCATGGCATCCTCAATTTTACAAGGGAACCTATCATGACCTTACATTTTCACTTTTTAATAATAACTATGTCCCTACTCAAAATAAAATAACTTTGCAAGAGTTCAATTATAATCTTGCATTTTTACATTTCATTTTGGCAAGAGGCATAATTATTACTGAAATATGAAGGTGTAGGATCATATTCGCAGACTTGAGAGGGTGTCACAAATTGCACAAACTTTACTTTTTTCTTTTTTCTTTTTTTGTAAGTGGTTCATTCGCTCCTTGCAGTAAGGCGCTGGCCTGTCTAGCTTCTCATGTTATGATTTGTCTTGTCTTCCCCAAAACTTTTTTTAGGTTCACAACTTGCAATGTGACAATCTATGTACTATTCCATAATTTAATTATTTAAAACTATATTCAATAAACTGTGAGCAGAAAAGTAGAAAAAAAGAAAATTCCCTTTTAAAAAAGGACAATTGTCTTTCATGAAATTTTTTTTTAGAATAAAGCTCAATTTGTTTATTCGACTTAGCAAAAGCTACTTAAAAACTAATTTTTTTATATAATTTATCTCTTGAACTTACACAAAAAGAAGAAAAGGCTTATTTTTTTTATAAAAAATTATTTTAAATATTTTTAATTAATAAAAATAATTTAAAAGTTTAGACTTAAAAAAGAAAAAATAATTTTAAAAATTACAATATAATTAAACAAAATAATTTTAAAAATTACAATATAATTAAACAAAATAATTAAATTGCTTTCAAATTCTGAAGGTAAATTAACAAATTATACATTACTCCACATTCAAAAGGCAAATTGAATTTGAAGTTAAAAGTTTATATATATATAATGGTTTGGTTGGATTGGATGGTTTTCAAAACCATATAACCAAACTAAAAGCTCAAGTTTTAAATTTTACGAAAGCAAATCAAATCATCAATTATTGAAAACCACAGTTTTAGATTCATCAATTTCAGCAGTGAGATGAATACCCTTGTCCTGTGAAGCAATTTGGCCTCGAGCAATTTGGCCTCGTTGCATTTATTAGTGTCTTCAATGTCAAAATGATCATGTGCATGTAGGCCATACTATAATCAATCAACAACTTTGAGTTTTGTTACATTATTATTATTATTTTTTTTTATTGAAGTCAATGTTTTTCTTCTGTATTATAATCGAATGATAATAATAAGAAATTACATTTTGTGTGTAAACAAGCAGATTAGCCTCAAGTCAAACTGCTGAAATCATAATTGTTAATTTAACCAATTGATGCATGATGATCAAGTAAATCTGAAAAAGAATGGTTGTGATGTGATCGTCATCACAACCTACTGTAGCCTACTGTAGCAACAGCTTCGTTACTTGAGTTGGGGGAAGCAGGCTGTTTTACTTCACTTCAAGCCTTTACCCGCTTCTTTCTCTTTCTTTTCTTTGATCAGCCATTCTAAAGCTTTCGACAAGTGATCATGTAACGATCTGTGTCTGAAATAGTAATTTATTAGTCTGTGAATAGTACTATTTGCTCGGAAATAGATATTATTTTTATTTGAAAAAATTACTATATATGTTTTATATTTTATTTAATATTTTTGGAGCATGCATGCATAATTTTTATGGATAAAAAGTAAGTAATGAATATTTTTGAAAAATTTAGACAATTAGTGAATGATAAATTATGGTGTTATATTAATTAAGGAAATTTGAAGAATTTATTTTTTTGAGTAAATTTAAAAATTTTGTGGAGATAAATAATATTTTTAAAAAATTTAATCGGAGAATATTTTTAGCCATTAGAATATATTACCATCAACTAAGTCTTAACCACCAAATTCTTTTCAAAGACTAAAAAGCCCTTTAGTCAAGTCAACTCAAATAATTGAGCTACCATTTTCTCATTGTTCTTCTTCTGCTTTTGGGCGTTAACTCCTCCTTCTTCTTCTCTTTGTTTTTCTTCACTTCCTAGCTAAATCCACCAAATTCACTCCATTTAACTTGCTTTAAATAATAAATCCTAAAGATTAAAGCTTGAAAAATGATTTTTGGTGACTAAGTTCAAGAAATTTGGAGAGTTACTACTTAAGCCAAGTAAGTGATCACTTCCTGCAGATTAAGGATTTCAAATTCCTTCTTTTGTTTGCTTTTATATTCCATTCCTTCATATTTAGTCTGTTTTCTCCTTGTTGTTTTCCATTTCTCATTTTGATTCCAAAACCACAATCTTTTCTCCTCTCTCTTCTTTTTATGTTAATTGCTTATTATTAGTTGATTTTCTTTCCAATTCTCAATCTTTTTCCTGTCCCTGTCCTGAACTTGTTTTCCTACAAAAAAAAAAAAAAACAAAAAAAAAAAGAACCAATTAAGGAGCAAATGGACACACTTGTGGGAACTGGAGTAACAAAAGTTACAGAACCGTTGATTGATTCAGTATTGCGTCAAATTGGGTATATATGGAACTACCGGGACAACCTCCAGAGCTTGAGAGCTCAAGTACAAAAACTGAAAGGTGAAATGCAAGTTTTGGAGCATAAAATGGAGAATGCTAGACAAAAAGGAGAACAAATTGAAGATCTTGTGAAGAGCTGGCTGAAAGATGCGAATGAGAAAATTGAAGCTTCTGAGAAAATTTTGGAAGATAATGACAGAGCGAATCATTTTTGCTTTATGGGATGCTGTCCTAATATGAAGACCCGCCACCAGTTCAGCAGAAAAGCAAATAAAAAGACACAAGTTCTGGTTGAGGTTCGAAACGAAGGCAAGTTTGAGAAAATCTCCTACCGCACTGCTCTCAAGGGGATAGGCCCTCCTAAGGATTATGAAGCCTTTGAATCCAGAATGCTAATTTTGAACCAAATGCTGGAGGCTCTAAAAGATGTTGATGTTACTATGATTGGGGTGTATGGAATGGGAGGTGTGGGCAAGACAACACTAGCAAAAAACTAGCAAAAAATGTGGCAAGACAACACTAGCAAAAAAAGCTTGCCAAAACAAGTTGAAGGAAGATGGAATTTTCAAGGTGGTGTGTATAGCAACGTAACCTCTAAACTGTAGACTTGAAAAGAAGTTCAACAAGAGATCGGGCAAGAGTGGTTAAGGTTCCCCTTGAAGCGAGGTCACCGGCATGAGGGCGCTTTGTGTATGCTAAGACCTGAAACAGGAGGAAGAAAATTCTCTTGTAATTCTTGATGAGTTTTGGGAACTAGAAGATATCGGAATTCCTCTTGGCACCGAACATAAAGGATGCAAGATACTGATGACATCCAGAAATCTAAATGTATTGCATGAGATGGGCACAGAGAGGAATTTCAAGCTTCAAGTTTTAGAGGATGAAGAGGCAAGGGAATTATTTGAGAAGAAGGTGGGAACTCTAAAACATTCGCAGATAAAACCTATGACAGATGAAGTTGCAAAGAGATGTGCAGGTTTGCCAATTTCAATTGTGGCAGTTGCAACAGCATTGAAAAATAAGGGGTTGGAAGAATGGAAGGATGCATTGGAACGGCTGAAAAGGTCTGATGCGGATGATATGGATAAGCAAGTTCAATCTTGTTTTGATTTAAGCTACAGATATTTGGAAAATGATGAAATCAAATCACTATTCTTACGCTTAAGCGCATATTTATTTCTTAGCGATAGAGTAGACCAATTGCTGAAATATGTTTTGGGCTTGAGTTTATTCAAGCCATGCAGAAACTTAGAGGAAACAAGAAATAGACTTCATAAGTATGTTAATGACCTCAAATCCTCATGTTTGCTGCTAGAAGGTCGGAGGGATGGAGAAGTCAAAATGCACGACGTTGTTCGCAGTTTTGCTATTTCAACTGCATCTAGGGATCATCACGGATGGAGAAGTCAAAATGCACGACGTTGTTCGCAGTTTTGCTATTTCAACTGCATCTAGGGATCATCACGTCTTCACTGTAGCACATGACAAGGTATTAGAATGGCCACCTAAATCTAAACTTGAACAGTGCACCGCAATCTCTTTATATTGTACTGAAATACCTGAGTTTCCGACAACACTTGAATGCCCGCAACTGCAATCATTTCTACTAAGTTATCCTGGTTTGGGTCTCTCGTTAAGAATCCCAGATGACCTTTTTACTATGACAACAGACCTGAAAGTTTTGGATTTAACAGGCATAAGTTTATTGTCACTACCTTTGTCAATTCAAATTCTTGAGAATCTTCAAACCTTGTGTTTGGATGATTGTAAGTTGGAAGATATAAGTATAATCGTAAAGCTCAAGAAGTTACAAGTTCTCAGCCTTATGAACTCTGATATTGTTCGATTGCCAAGGGAATTGGAGCAGTTGACTCATCTGCGACTTTTAGATTTGAGCAACTGTTCTAGCCTAGAAGTGATTCCTCGCAATGTCCTGTCAAAGTTAGTCCGATTGGAGGACTTGCGTATGGGTAACGGCTTTGTACAATGGGAGGGAGAAAAACAAGGTGGTGTAGGGAAAAATGCTAGCCTCTCTGAATTGAAGGCTCTATCAAATCTAGTCGCTCTAGAGATACACATTCTTGATGCAAATATACTGCCTAGAGATTTGTTCTCTGAAAAGCTGGAGAGATTTAGAATATTCATTGGGGATGGGTGGAATTGCTCTGATGATATGTATGCAACGTCAAAAGTGCTGAAACTCAAGTTTAACACAAGTGTTCACCTTGAGGGAATAAAAGTCTTATTGATGACAACTGAACATCTACATTTGGATGAGCTGAACGGTGTAAAAAATATCCTCCATGAGTTAGACGAAGAAGGTTTTCCATACTTGAAGAAACTCTACATCCAAAATAGTCTTGATATTGAACATATTATAGACTGGAGGAGGATGAGCCATTTCATTGCTTTCCCCAAGTTGGAGTCATTATTTCTACAAAATTTAAAGAAATTGGAGAAGATTTATCACGGCCGTTATGTGATGGGGTCTTTCAGCAATTTAAGAAAATTAAAGGTCGGAAATTGTAATGTATTGAAGAATCTCTTTTCGTTCTCTATGCTCAAGGGTCTTGTGGTGCTCGAAAAAATAAATGTAAGCCGTTGTGAAATTTTGAAAGAGATTGTTGCTATGGAAACAAGAGAAGATTCTGAAATTAAGTTGCCACAGTTACGCAAATTGAAATTGGAAAATTTACCTCAGCTTACATGCTTTTGCTCCCAAGGGGATGTGCCTTCCATATCCCAAAGCCAGCAACAGCTTCTACGAGCTCTGGAGAAGTCATATTGGAGGATGAATCTGCAACTCTTTAAAAACTGTTATTGTTAATATTTCTTACTTAATTTCCAATACATAACATTAATTGTTCAAATAACAATCCTTCAATAATAGGAAACTAAGCTAACCAATTAAATTAAAAGTTTTAAATAATAATTTTCTATTTTATGTTTTAGGCACTAAAATTAATGCAATTATTAAATTTAAGCATGTCCATTTCTCTATTAGTATGTTTTGGAGTTGACAGTACTTCCATTTTCTCTATAAGTATGTTGAGTTTGACAGTACTCAAATTTATTTTCTTGAAAGCACAAAGTGTCTACAGATTCAATCCCCAAATTTGGTTAGATCTGAAAATTAGCTCAATCAATGTGGATGAAGATATGGCCGCCAGTGAACTTAACACGAATTTATCTCCATGGATTACAAAACTAACAAGCTTGATTATTGAACACCTGCGAAATTTAACTATTTATTACATTTCTAGTAGTGTAAAGCCCGTCGAAACTGGATAAACATTGATATAAGGGATTGCAAAATCGCATGAAAGAAGTCATAGTTACAAAGAACCGAGAAGAAATGAAGAGCATAATGCTATTCCCTAAAACGGTCCTCGCATGACTCAAGGCCTTCAGAGTCTCAAGAAATTTGCACTGTGGGGCGAAGCGCTTCATAGAATGTCCTCCTTGAAACACTTGTGGATGCAGAGAATGTGCCCCGCAACTCCAAGCATTTTATCTCATAAGTTCCAGAAGGACATATGCGGGAACCTTAGTTGACTATAGCAACTCAACTCTCTTGATGAAAAGTATTCCTCTTAATCTTGTTACGTTCATTCTTTAGTCTTTTAGTTTTCAGAATTTGATGTTAACTCCATGAAATTTTTACTTCAGATTTTGTTTCCCAACTTGGAAAATCTGCGTATCACGAACATGCACACATTGAAGATGATATGGAACGATGAACTCTGTGTGGATTCCTTTTATAGATTGAAAGTACTCGAAGTAGAGCATGGAAAAGAACTATTGAAAGTTTTTCCATCTAAACAGTTGCTGAGATTCAAGAACTTAGAAAGATTGATGGTTAAGGATTGTAATTTAGTGGAAGAGGTATTTGATCTCCAAGTATTGATGAAAATACAAGAAGAAACAGATGTTGCAGCAACCACTCAGACTCAATTGAGATATTTGATTGCAAGAGAACTCCCAAATTTGAAGAATGTATGGAATGGGGATCCTAGTGGAATTTTGTCCTTTCATAACCTACAAAATGTGCATGCATGGGATTGTCCAAATTTGAAAGAGCTATTCCCATTTTCAATAGCTCAAAGTCTTCCACAACTTGAACTGCTGAATATAGATGGTTGCGGGATGGAGGAAATTGTTGCCAAAGAGGAAAGAGCAGAAGCAACTCCTAAGTTTACATTTGGTCGACTGAAGTCCTTATACCTTTGGAGATTAAATGGATTAAAGTCTTTTTACTCAGAAAACCACATCTTAGAATGTCCGCAGTTAGAAAAATTGAGTGTCTATGGCTGTGATAAATTGGAAATTTTTACTTCAGAACCTGGGGATTTGCAAACAATGGATTTGGAGAAGCAGGAGACTCAATTGAAGATTCAGGTTCCGCAGCCATTTTTTTCATTTAGAAAGGTATGTAAGAAAATGTGTTTTTTTCAATTTTAATATTTTACAAGAAAAATATTCTTTACCAGAAAAAAAGTTTTTTTAAAAACTTAAAAAAAGCAAAAAACAATTTTTCCTTTGAACAGAATTTGATTTTATTGTTTGAGTTCAAATCATATAACTGTCATCTCCTATAAAACTGACTATTAAACTCAAACTTGAATTTCTATTCAATGGTTTCCAGATTTATTCCCAACTTGAGCATTTATCATTAGAGAACCAGGGACACCTTAACGATTCCTCAAGGCCAGTTTCCCAGCAAACACAACTAGAATTGTCTTGAAAATTGAATTGGTTTTCTTGAATGGTTCAACAGATTCTGCATTTGGTCTTATTAATAAATTTCCAAAATACTTAAAAAGCTTGCTCTGGAAACTTGTTGCCTATCGAGTGCTATTCCAACATGGTATTCTATGGTGAAGCTGAAGGGCGCTCTCGGCTCCGGCTGCAATTCTTAAACAACTGGAAACCCTTCCCGCACATGAGCCACCATTTCGAGTGAAGATTGCCCACCTGACCATGTTTTCCCAAATCTTGAAGTTTTTAAGTAGTCGGGGGTTGCCCCCCAGTTTGATTTCTTTGGCACCGTCAAAAGAGCTATTCCCATTTTCAATAGCTCAAAGTCTTCCACAACTTGAACTGCTGAAATATAATGGTTGCGGGATGCGAGGAAATTGTTGCCAAAGAGGAAAGAGCAGAAAGCAAACCTCCTAAGTTTACATTTAGTCGACTGAGTCCTTAACCCTTTGGACCGATTAAATGGATTAAAGTATTTTTACTAGAAACACACATCTTAAGATTTGTCCGCAGTTAAGAAAAATTGAGTGTCTATCGCTGTGATAAATTGGAAAATTTTTACTTTAAGAAACCTGGGGATTTGTGGCAAACAATGGATTTGGAGAAGCGGAAGACCCTCAATTGAGGTGATTCAGGTTCCGCAGCCCATTTTTTTATTTAGGAAAAGGTATGTAAGAAAATGTGTTTTTTTTCAATTTTAATATTTTACAAGAAAAAAGTTTTTAAAAACTTAAAAAACAAAAACATTTTTCCTTTGAAACAGATTTGATTTATTGGTTTGAGTTCAATAATTCATATAACTGTATTCCTATAAACTGACTATTAACTCTAACTTGATTTTCTATTCAATGGTTTTCCAGATTATTCCCACTTGAAGCATTTATCATTAGAGAACAAGGAACACCTCAACGATTCGTCAAGGCCAAGTTTCCAGCCACAACAAACTAGAATTTCTTGAAATTGGAGTTTGTTTTTCTTGAATGGTTCAACAAGATTCTGCAATTTGGTCTCATTCATATTTCCAAATATTAAAAAAGCTTACTCTGGCAAGCCTTCTCCTTCAAAAGTGCCTATTCCAGACATGGTATTTCTTGGTTGAAGCTGAAGGGGCTCTCGCTCGCTGCAATTCCTTAAAACTGGAAACCCTTCCGCAACATGACCACATTTGGAGTGAAGAATTGCACACCTGACCAATGGTTTTTCCAAAAATCTTGAAGTTTTAAGTTGTGCGGGGTTGCCCCCAGTTTGCATTATCTTGGCACCGTCAACCGCATCTTTCCAAAAACCCTTTCTAAGCTCTTGAATGTTTGGCACTGTGATTCAACTAAGTCAACCTAAGTAGCATCCTTCTACTGCAAAACAGTATGGTGAACCTCAAACGAAATTGACTGTAAAGAGAATGCAATATGCTGAAGAGAAATTGTAGCCAAACGAGGGAAATGAATCCCAATCCCATTCCCCACCTCAGATTATTTTCTCAGTAAATTGGTAACTCTAGACGCCTCCGTGGCTTGAAAAACCTGACTAGCTTCTGCCTCAATTGCAAGTTGCAACCATCAAATTCCCATCTTTGAAATGATGTAGTTGTGGCACAGTGCCCCCAACAATGAAGATTTTTTCTCAAAGGAGTCATAAACCTCGCCAGAGCTAAAGAGAGGTATACGTCAGACAACAGCATTAGAGAATAAATGGCTTTGGATTGGGGACCTGAATACCAACCATAAAAAACAAATTGTATGAAGAAATGGTAAGTTTGTAACAATTCTCCTGCTAAAATTCCGGATGTCTATTTGTTTTCTTGTCCATGAAGAAAAAA